GGCTGAGGCAGAAGAATTGCTTGAACTGGGACCTGGAAGGCGAAGGTTGCAGTGAGCCAAGATTGTGCCACTGCACTCCAGCCTGGGCTACAGAGCGAGACTCCATCTCAAAAAATAAAAAAAGTCATTGTGAACTTACAGATTTAAACATATTTAATGAGATTCAGCTCATTGCAATCATTACTGATGCACAAATGTCCCATCATTGGCCATTAGGAGCTTCTTTAAATTGACTCCTAAGTCATTTTGACATAACCCTAGTATTCTTTCTTGATTTCTGATTTGACAGAATGTTTATCCCATCTTGGACACTTCTTGTCCTAATGCAGAATCCTTAAGTTCTGGATCCTAGTTCTTTTAAATTTTTTGAGACAGAGTTTCGCTCTTGTTGCCCAGTCTAGAGCGCAATGGTACGATCTCTGCTCACCACAACCTCTCCCTCCCGGATTTAAACAAATCTTCTGCCTCAGCCTCCCAAGTAGCTGGGATTACAGGCATGCACCACTATGCCTAGCTAATTCTGTGTTTTTAGTAGAGACCGGGATTCTCCATGTTGGTCAGGCTGGTCTCAAACTCCCGACCTCAGGTGATCCACCAACCTTGGCGTCGCAGAGTGCTGGGATTACAGGCATGAGCCACTGTGCCCAGCCCAAGCCTGGTCCATTTTATTGGGAAATGGTATTTCAGTACCCTACTCTGTGTGCTAGGGGTACTTATTATACCTAGATTGGTCTTGGTTTCTAGTCTTTGTGAGCAGAACTAGAAATTGTTTTTAAATATAAAACATATTTTTTTGGTCCCTGTAGTTCAGATTTAGAAATGTAAGGCTACTGCCTTAGGTTTTTTTTTTTTTTTTTTCCCTTAGTCACATGCTAGGAACCCTGGCCCTCAGTCAGTAGAGTTCGTTTTATTTTATTTTTATTTAGTTTTTTATTTTGACACAGGGTTTTGCTCTGTTTCCCAGGCTGAAGTTCAGTGGCTTGATCTTGCCTAACTGCAATCTCTGTTTCCTGGGCTGAAGCAATCCTTCCACCTCTCAGCTTCCCAAGTAGCTGGGACTACAGGGGCATACCACCACACCTGACAATTTTTTTTTTTTTTGGTAGAAATGGGGTTTTGCCGTGTTGCCCAGGCTGGTCTCAAACTCCTAGGCTCCAGTGATCCACCTCCCTCAGCCTGTCAAGGTTACAGCCGTGAGCCACCATGCCCAGGCTGTTTTTCTTTTTTTTTTTTTTTTTTCTTGAGACAGAGTCTTGCTCTGTCGCCCAGGCTGGAGTGCAGTGGCACAGTCTTGTCTTACTGCAACCTCTGCCTCCTGGTTCAAATGATTCTCCTGCCTCAGCCTCTCGAGTAGCTGGGAACTATAGGCGTGTGCCACCACACCCGGTTAATTTTGGTATTTTTAGTAGAGATAGCGTTTCACCACGTTGGTCAGGCTGAACTCCTGGCCTCGTGATCTGCCTGCCTCGGCCTCCCAAGTGCTGGGATTATAGGCAAAAGTGCCCAACTTAATTTACTTTTTCTTACAGGGTTTCACTTTGTCACCCAGGATGGAGTATAACAGTAGGATTATGGTTCATTGCTGCCTCGCCCTATTGGGCTCAGGCTGGGACTCAGGCACGAGCCACTGCACTCAGCTCTTTTTTATTTATTTATTTGTTTGTTTATTTATTTTTATTAGTCGTGTCTCCCTGTGTTGCCCAGGCTGGTCTTGAACTCCTGGGTTCAAGCAGTCCTCCCTTGGCTTCCCAGTGTGCTGAGATTATAGATGTGAGCCCCCACACCCAGCCAAGTTGATTATAAGTTGTAGAGAAGAGAATAAAATTAGGGAAGTGACGTCAGAGGGAGCAAGTGGCAGAGCGAACCCAGAGAAGTGGAACATACAAAAGTATGCCAATAAGTGTTCCTAGGAGAACCATTATTAAGAAAAGGAAGCCCAGGCATGGTGGCTCACACCTGTAATCCTAAAACTTTGGGAGGCCAAGGTGGGAGAATTGCTTGAATCCAAGAGTTGAAGACTAGCCTGGGCAACATAGTGAGACCTCATCTCCACTAAAAATAAAAAAAATTAGTTGAGTGTGATGGCATACAGCTGTGATCCCAGCTACTAGGTAGGCTAAGGTGGGAGGATTCCTTGAGTCTTTCCTTCCAGAGGAGGGCTGTTTTCGGCTCATCCTGCCTCTTGGGGGCTTCCAATATGTCTTAAGAGCAGAAAAGCTTTTCTCATTGCCACTGGGTCACAAAATAGCCGAAAGGTAGACACAAATAGAGTCAGGACTGCCTTAAATAGATGGAAGTGCGCTACAATAGAGAGCTAGCTTTATTCTGGCAAGAGCAACACAGAAGAGGAGTGTATCGGGCAGAATGTTCCTTTTTCTGCTTCCAGGAAGTGTCACACACTCTGCTTGCTTGGAGAATCCTGAAACCCTACAGGATAATACTATTTGCCTGCTGCTATATCATCATGCCCCCATTACCCAAATACCTGCATATTGACTGACTTCAGCACATGAAGGGGCCTTAGTGGTTATATCAAATGTCATCTTTCTTTGGTGCAGACCTTGCTGACCAGGGCTCTTGTTTAAATTACTGACCTTTGCCCATGCCTAGCTCTGGGTTCACTTATGAACTGGGGTCTTACAGTAATATCAGCTTTGTGAGGAGAACTTATAACAGCTCAAATACTGGCATATTTTCTCGGTGTGTTGGTTCACACCTGTATTTCTAACTGCTCGGCAATCTGGCAGGAGGATTCTTTGAGCCCAAGAGCTCAAGGCTGCAGTTAGCCATGATTGTGTCACTGTACCCTAGCTTGGGCAACAGAATGAAACTCCATCAAACTCCATCTCTTTTTCCTTTTTTTCCTTTTTTTTGAGACAGGATCTCACTGTCACCCAGGCTTAAGTACAGTGTTTTGGTCACGGCCCACTGTAGCCTTGACCTCCCAGGCTCAAGGAATTCTCCCACCTCAGCCTCCCTAGTAGCTGGGATCATAAGTGTGCACCATCACACTCAACTAATTTTTTTGATTTTTAGTGGAGATGAGGTTTCACTACGTAGCCCAGGCTGGTGTTCAACTCTTGGGCTCCAGTAATTCTCCCACCTCAGCCCCCAAAAGTTGTGGGATCACAGGTGTGAGCCACCATGCCTAGCCTTCCTTTTTTAAAAAAAGACAAATATTATAGAAGAGAGCCTGCATCTTAACAAAAAATGAAAAAAGAAAAACAATCCCCCAGAGTATCAGTTTCGTCTTTATCTAGAGAAGGAGTGACAATGGCCTTTTTAGAGAAGGTTGAAATGAGAGAAGACTTGGTGAGGGCAAACGGGCGTGCATACCAGTTCTTTGGGCGCTGGACCAACTTTGAAAATAAGCAAAACTCTGTATACTCTCAGAGAAGTATGCATATATACAGAGTCTGGTTTATAGTTTTCGGTACTTCATTGTCCCTTAGGGCAGTCTTTTTGCCTCATGTTAACCTTGGATTGGAGGGTAACAACAATCATATAAGGCTGTGGTTCTCAAGTGTGGCGTTAGAAATGCTCGTTATCAGGTTCTACCTCAGAAAGAAGTTGAGACCCAGCCATCTGTTTTAACAAGATTTCCAGATGGTTTTTGCCATACTTTGGGAGACTCCCCTGATGAATGAAACTTATACTCCTGTGTGGTCTTTATGTTTCACACCTTCCATATTGTGCCTTTGAGAGACTACCTGCCATCCTCTTGTTGTAGCAGTACTGTATTCCTCCTAGGCTATGTCCTGCCCAGCCACGTGACTGAGGAGATGCTCTGGGAGTGCAAGCAGCTTGGGGCTCACTCCCCCTCTACCTTGCTGACCACCCTCATGTTCTTTAATACCAAGTAAGTGTTCTAGAGGCTCCACTGCTGGCATTTGTCCAGTGAAGAGTGTGGAAACTATCCAAGAGGACTTCTGAATTCCTCTGACATATACTTGAGAAACTTTGAGCTACTGAAAGCCCTAGCCCCACTTGGCTGCATTTTGTTTGGCAACCAGTGAGGCAAACAGCCTTGCTAGACCCCTACCACCCATCTTGATGTGGCTCCTGCACTGGACACTGTGCTTGGGTATGGACCTGCCCAGATCCTGGGAGTGTGGGCATTGGCTGCTCTGAGGCACCAGTGGGCAGAGGGTAAGTCACGGTATCCTCCCGGCACCCTCTCCCTCTGCCTTGCTTTTACTTGTGATCCAGGTACTTCCTGTTGAAGACAGTGGACCAGCACATGAAGCTGGCCTTCTCCAAGGTTTTGCGACAGACAAAGAAAAACCCCTCTAATCCCAAGGATAAAAGCACAAGTATCCGGTATTTGAAGGCCCTTGGAATACACCAGACCGGCCAGAAAGGTAAGGAAAGGAGGCAGGGATGACAAAAACAGGTGCTTCTTGACATTCTCTGTCCTGCCTTTGTACCTGTGGGGCCAGTGATAAGTGTGAAGGTTGGGAGTTGCTGGATAAAATTCTCCACTCCCTTCTCCCCAGCCAAAAACTCCAAACTTTCCTCCTAGAAGCAGAGAAAGCCCCAGAGAATAGCTGCCTTTTCCCTTAGTAGTCACTGCCCATGGCTCATACCTTCCTCCCTGCACCCTGTATTTCCTAGTTGGACTGGCTGAAAGCCTAAGGTTCCTGATCTGGGCTTGAGGTAAGGCAGTCTAATGCCATGTCCGTGGTGGTGGGGATGTGTGTTTTATAGTTACAGATGACATGTATGCAGAACAGACGGAAAATCCAGAGAATCCATTGAGATGTCCCATCAAGCTCTACGATTTCTACCTCTTCAAATGGTGAGGAGACTTTGTGACTGGCTATCCATATGCACGTGTGTGTGTGTATGTATGCATGTGCATGCTCACTTGTGTGATATCACAAGGGAAAGGCATTCTCTAGTCTCAAACCAAGTAAAAACACTTCCAAAAAGCTAAATTTAGAAGCAGCCTTGCTCTGGCTTTCCAAAGGTGTGTGATTTGCCTAGCACTGATAGAAAAAGGGGTCCTGGGTCCCTACAGTCACTTTTCATGAAAAGGGTGTGGAGGTACAGAGAATCTACCTTCATCACACATTGAGCATGGCCCTGCTTCCTGACCTTGACTTTTTGTCACGGCCACCATTAGTCTAGGTGGGACTCCTCTCAGCTTTTTCTCCCTTTTGCCCATTCAGTAGTTTCTCATTACTCTATATAATAATCCTTTTATGGCAGTCAAGGCTTTTCACGCACTTCCCCTTGCTAACCTCATGTCTGTGGAGCTCTTAGTTCCCTAGCCACACTAGCTCCTCTCCGCTCAAGGGCATTATATTATTCCTCTTCTCAACTTAAACACAGCTTATCAGAGAATTTTTCCAGATTCTCCACCTCTTCCCTGTGGCTATTTCCTGTTTATTATTTTGTATTTGTGTGACTTTGCTACCTGTGTCCCCTCCTATCTGTAAGCCCCATGGGGTAGGAAATACTGTTCCTGCTCTTTTTTTTTTTTTTTTTTTGAGAGGGAGTCTTGCTTTGTCACCACGCTGGAGCGCAGTGGCGCAATCCCAGCTCACTGCAAGTTCCACCTCCCGGGTTCAAGCGATTCTTCCGCCTCAGCCTCCTGAGTAGCTGGGACTACAGGCATACGCCACCATACCCGGCTAATTTTTGTATTTTTTTTAGTAGAGATGGGATTTTGCCATGTTGGCCAGGATGGTCTTGATCTTTTGACCTTGTGATCCACCTGCCTCAGCCTCCCAAAATGCTGGGATTACAGGCTTGAGCCACCATGCCCAGCCTCTTTTTTTTTTTTTTTTTTTTTTACTATCAGCACCCAGTGCTGACCTGGCACCAGTAACCTTTAAACAAATCTTGAATGGACAGATGAATAACTACTGTTAAAGGATGCAGGGTGCCAAGTACTTTTTTTTTTTTTTGAGATGGAGTTTCAATCGTGTTGCCCAGGCTGGAATGCAATGGCATGATCTTGGCTTGCTGGAACCTCTGCCTCCTGGGTTCAAGCGATTCTCCCGCCTCAGCCTCCTGAGTAGCTGGGATTACAGTCATGCACCACCACACCCGGCTAATTTTTGTATTTTTAGTAGAGACAGGGTTTCTCCATGTTGGTCAGGCTGGCCTCAAAACTCCTGACCTCAGGTCATCTGCCTATTTCGGCCTCCCAAAATGCTGGGATTATAGGTATGAGCCACTGCACCCGGCCCAGGGTGCCAAGTACTTAATAGAGGTACAGCACAGTTGGGGAAAGGGAAATGAACCCAAACCAAGGGCCCCAGTGTCATGGCCATTGGGTAGAAAACACAACATGGGGCTGGGTGCTGCAGTGGCTTATGCCACCTGGGAGGCAGAAGTTGCGGTGAGCTCAGATTGTGCCACTGCACTCCAGCCTGGGTGCGGTGAACTGAGATCATGCCACTACACTACAGCCTGGGTGACAGAGCAAGATTCTGTCTCAAAAAAAAAAAAAAAAAAAATACTAAACACAACATGTGCAAAGACTTGGAGATAGACCTTCTAGGCAGTGAAGTTGACTTCAAGTAGGATAAGGATGGACTCATACGAGTCCATGGGAGCCCTAGGCTGGTGCAGTCAGTGATGGCTCGCAGCTGGCATGTGGGAAGGAGGGGCAGAGGGGAAGCAACCCAGCATTTTGGGCATTTGCACTAGTCCCAAAGTAGGACCAGGATGTAGTGTGTGTTGGCTGCATGCAGTTAAGTAGCTGTGCCACAATACCTTGGGGCCTTACTGTTTGCAGACAGCATCTCTGGGAGGTTCAAGGTGGGAGGGTTGAAGTTGTATTGGTGGTACCCAACTTTTATCCACATATCTTCAGCCCCCAGAGTGTGAAAGGCCGGAATGACACCTTTTACCTGACACCTGAGCCAGTGGTGGCCCCCAACAGCCCAATCTGGTACTCAGTCCAGCCTATCAGCAGAGAGCAGATGGGACAAATGCTGACCCGGATCCTGGTGATAAGAGAAATTCAGGAGGCCATCGCAGTGGCCAATGCAAGCACTATGCACTGAGATGCCTTGGCCATGGTGGAAGAGAAACCAGCCAGGAAAAACCAGACTTTCACACTAAAGAAGAGGCCTCCGTTTTTTCTTTTTTCTTTTTTTATTGGTGTAGTTATGAAGCCTTTCAGGCTGCTTCTGTTTAAAATGTAAAAGAAAACTTTGCCCCCTTTGCATCTTCATAAACATGCTGCGGCAGACTCCTCAGCCAATGGGGGCTTTGGGTTTCCTTGAGAATCATAGGTCCTAGAAAGTTGCTGGCTGACTCTTTTTTGGCCTGGGGCCTGGGGAAAGGGCTTGGACTGTTAAAAGAAATGTGGCCCCTTTCCATCTTCAAGAGAGATGGAATTAATGATGGATGGACCCTGCAGGAAATCTCCCCAGCCCGCTTCCACTGGGCTGACAGACTTCGCTGACCACAGGGAAACGATGTTCTTTTCTTTCTTCATGCTCAGACATAAACTTAGCATCTTAATGGAAGAAAAATGAGGGGAACTTCAATTATGATTTACTAAAGACAATTTCTATTACACCCTCCTTTATGACAAGTGACATTTTAGATGTTAAAGTAAAAACTTTACCATGCCTTTTTTTTTTTTTTGGGCCTATCATTGAGGCCTTAAAACCTGAGGCTCCTGTGCCTGATGGAATTCTTGTAACATACACTTGTGTATCATATAAAGATACCACTCTGTTTCTCTTATGTATTCTTACTCTAGTTGTTTATTAAGAATGACAAGCACGTCTTTTCAACATGCTAGTGAACAACGCCTCTTTATTTTGGGGAGGACCCCGGCGGGACAGTGGAAGCAAAGGCTTGTCTGTTAATTGAACGGGCACGGGTCCTGCAGGGAGTGGGGTGGGATGTGAAACCGCAGCTCCTCAGTTAGTAGGCCATTTCGTGCTGTACGCATGCGCCGGTTTTCCACCACCAGTCTCGTCCTCGATGCCGCGAGGCGGTTAGGCTCCGCCCGCGCGCGCTACGCCCTGACGTCAGCGTCGCGCGCAGCGCAGTGACGAAATCGGCTGGTTTATATTGGCGCGGCCCGGACGGCAGAGGTCTCTGCGGCGCGGTCCTCGGAGACACGCGGCAGTGTCCTGTTTTGGCCATGGCCGACTACTTGATTAGCGGGGGCACGTCCTACGTGCCAGACGACGGACTCACAGCACAGCAGCTCTTCAACTGCGGAGACGGCCTCACTTACAAGTGCGGGCCTTATGGGGCCCAGCTGGGCGAGGAGAGGGGCGGCACACTGGGCGAAAAGGCCAGATGGGGGCTTCCGTGAAGCCTTCTTGGGAGCGGGCGTGGGAGATAGGTTCCGGCAATTGGCCACCCACCTTAGGGTCTCACTTTGAGACATCTAGAGCGGGGCTTGGGGTACAGAGAAGCATCTCAATAGTGCTTGGAATTTCAGGCTGGAGACTCCATGCTCCAGAAACGTAATTGTCAGGGTGCCAGGAGCACTGATGACAGCTCGGTGGCAGAAAAGGTCCCCTGTCCCCATCTCCACCTTGTGCTGTGCCGTGCCTGTGACACACAGGCTCTGTCAGTGCGACACTGCCCACATGCCTTACGGGTTGATCTATGGGGATGGAGTATAGAGTCTCATCCAGCCATAAGCCTGAGAGCTTTACTCTCAATTCACTCCCTTCCCTCGCAGTGACTTTCTCATTCTCCCTGGGTACATCGACTTCACTGCAGACCAGGTGGTGAGTATAATCAGGAATTGGGTTCTGAACATCAAGGCGAGGTAAGGTGCTACTGTCACCTGGTCTTGGCTACCTCACCAGATTGGGTTTGGGGGTGAATTTTATGGGATCATGTTACTGGTTAGCATGTAGGTCATAGAAGTACCTGTTTGTGGGGGACCCAGTAACACCTTGAGGTGTAAGCGATGCTTTCCCACACTGGTTGACCTTTATCTCCTCAGGACCTGACTTCTGCTCTGACCAAGAAAATCACTCTTAAGACCCCACTGATTTCCTCTCCCATGGACACAGTCACAGAGGCTGGGATGGCCATAGCAATGGCGGTGAGCCGCATGGGGTGTGGGGGTAGGAGCAAGGATGCCATCACCTTTCCCCAAAGGCATTCAGTCCTGCCTCTGGTCACTTAGTAATCCCTTTTTATCCTGTAGCTTACAGGCGGTATTGGCTTCATCCATCACAACTGTACACCTGAATTCCAAGCCAATGAAGTTCGAAAAGTGAAGGTCAGAAGGGCAAGGATCATTAGCAAGCACTCCTGGGAATTGCACTGAGGTGGGGTGGGAGTAGGGGTTTGTTCTATTAATTTAGTGTCCTTTCTTCCCACCATGGGATTCAATTACTGAGAAGAGCCTGAGATTCTGTTTCTTAAAGCAGCAGCAATAGACCAGGTAGACAGTGCCTCTAGCCCACCCATGTCTCCTCATAGATGTGTTGGTGTGATTTGGTCCTGTGGCACTGCCACAGGGATCATTAAGCAGAGACCCCATGCTTCAGATTAACAGCCTGATGAAAGTAGTTCAAAGATGCAATGCCCTTTCTCACCATCCCCTTCCAGAAATACGAGCAGGGATTCATCACAGACCCTGTAGTGCTCAGCCCCAAGGATCGCGTGCGGGATGTTTTTGAGGCCAAGGCCCGGCATGGTTTCTGCGGTATCCCAATCACAGACACAGGCCGGATGGGGAGCCGCTTGGTGGGCATCATCTCCTCCAGGGACATTGATTTTCTCAAAGAGGAGGAACATGACTGTTTCTTGGAAGAGGTGGGTGCCACTGGCAGAGTACAGCCAAGTTCTGGAAGCCCAGGATGAAGACAAGAGGCTTCTGTTGCCTGTATGACATCTCTGATAGCCTTTCCTCTCTGGGAAAGATGAGTGTCAAACCATATTTCTGACTCCTTCACTGGGAATGCTTTCAAACTGCCCAAATGCTTGCTAGTATTCATGTGTTCTTTGAAACCCCTAAGTCAGGGCTTGAGGTCAGCCCTCATTTTCTTGCCATTGTTCTTGTGTGGTCCTTCTTATTCCATAATGTAAGGGGCTGCTCCCTGTGCTGTGTTGTCCTTTCTACTCACCCCTCACTCAATACTATACTGCTTAGGAACTGCTGGGATCCCTTTAAGAAGGGTGGTTTGGGTGCAGGTGAATGAAGGTGGTGGTCCCTAGAACCTCACCCCTGAATTAGGCAGGGCATGTAGAGGTGACTGGCCATAGGCTGCGCATGGTGACTCACGCCTGTAATCCTGACACTTTGGGAGGCTGAGGTGAGCAAATCTCGAGGAGTTTGAGACCAGTCTGGCCAACATGGTGAAACTCCATCTCTACTAAAAATACAAAAAATTAGTTGGGCATGGTGGCAGTCCCCTGTAATCCCAGCTACTCGGGAGACCAAAAAAAAAGGTGACTGCCCATAGTCTGACTGGCCCTTCCTCATATCTCACCTTCCACGTAGATCATGACAAAGAGGGAAGACTTGGTGGTAGCCCCTGCAGGCATCACACTGAAGGAGGCAAACGAAATTCTGCAGCGCAGCAAGAAAGGTAAGTCCTAGAGTGGGAAGGGGCCTGAAACTAACACTCAGGGTCCTGATTCATGTCCTGCCCTGACCACAGGCAAGCTGCCCATTGTAAATGAAGATGATGAGCTTGTGGCCATCATTGCCCGGACAGACCTGAAGAAGAATCGGGACTACCCACTGGCCTCCAAAGATGCCAAGAAACAGCTGCTGTGTGGAGCAGCCATTGGCACTCATGAAGATGACAAGTATAGGCTGGACTTGCTCACGCAGGCTGGTGTGGATGTAGTGGTTTTGGTGAGCTGCTACACAGGCAGGTTGGGGCAGTAGGGGGAGCTGTCACATCACAGTCTGAGACTTACTTCCCGTCTCAGGACTCTTCCCAGGGAAACTCCATCTTCCAGATCAATATGATCAAGTACATCAAAGAGAAATACCCCAATCTCCAGGTCATTGGAGGCAACGGTAAGGCAAGATTGTGCCCTGAAGGATGTGTGGTGGGAGTGGGTAAGCTGGGCTCCCACTGTAACCTTCATGTGAGCATTTCCTTCACCTTAGTGGTCACTGCTGCTCAGGCCAAGAACCTCATTGATGCAGGTGTGGATGCCCTGCGGGTGGGCATGGGAAGTGGCTCCATCTGCATTACCCAGGAAGGTAAGAATATGCTTTGACAGGGCCCACAGAGACCCCAGTTTCAGGCCCCACATACCTTGGAGCCAAGCACTCTTATGGGAACAATAGAGTCCTCCAATAGGGGCAACCCTGGGGCCAAATTGGCCTCTTGGATGGGTGACATGGCTGGAAGCAAGACAAGGTCTTGTCATCCCTCACCTGCCACTCCCCTGCCTAGCCTGGCCTCCTTGCTCCTGCTCTGTGCCTTCTCTAAACTCTGGTCTGTTTGTTTTATTTAGTGGCTCCCAAGATCCCTCCAGACATAAAGTCCCACAGCCCCAAATGCCCTTCTACTGTCACGGGTTGCTATAGTAAGTCTAGCCCGGCCCACTGGCCCGGCCCAGCTGCCCACTGCCCGGCTGCTTGGTTGACTGTAGCTGTAGCTCCCGGGGTTTGTGGTGCTGATGGGTGGGCAGGGCCAACTGATACACAGACCATGGTTTGGGGGCTGTTCATGAACATAGCTCCTCTTCCTCCTGGGTGCTGATAGGGCAGGACCTCCTTCCCTAAGTAGGCCCTTTCTTGCCCACATCTTCTGCAGTAGGCATGGCTCAAGGACCAACTCTGGAGCCTGCTGTTCCACACAACCACTGCCCTTATCTTGCCTGAACTGCCCACCATTCAGGGAGGAAGGGCTGGGCCTGACTTTAGTGCCTCTGGGGACTAACTGCACGGTGACTCCTGCCCCATCTGATACCAGCTGGACGGGGGCTTTCCCGGCTGCCAAGACTGCATGTGCCTGAGGCTGCCCTGGGCACTGCACACATGCACGTGCACATGTGGGGGTGAGTGGAGGTCAGCACAGCTGTTTGTATTATTTAAGGTAGATGGGGCAGCAGCCATTCCCAGACACATCTCTTCCTCAGCCAAGCTGCAGTCCTGATGCAGATGTAGCCAAGAGCTCCTGGGTCCTAAATGTAGCTACAGAGTCTACTGCCTGTCCCGATTAACCCTATCCACCCATGTGTTCCTCCATCTCAACAGTGCTGGCCTGTGGGCGGCCCCAAGCAACAGCAGTGTACAAGGTGTCAGAATATGCACGGCGCTTTGGCGTTCCAGTCATTGCTGATGGAGGAATCCAAAATGTGGGCCATATTGCCAAAGCCTTGGCCCTTGGGGCCTCCACAGGTGAGGCCCAGTACCCATGAAGGCCAGTGGGACTCCCCCTGCCCCCGTGCTGCTTAAGCTCTGCCCCAGGCACTCCATCTGTCCACAGTCATGATGGGCTCTCTCCTGGCTGCCACCACTGAGGCCCCTGGTGAGTACTTCTTCTCTGATGGGATCCGGCTAAAGAAATATCGCGGTATGGGTTCTCTCGATGCCATGGACAAGCACCTCAGCAGCCAGAACAGATATTTCAGGTGGGACAAGCAGGCCTATTACCCCACCTAATCCTGCACTGTCTCATCTCTGCTGTGACCTTGCCTATGTCTCTGCCTCTCCCTGCAGTGAAGCTGACAAAATCAAAGTGGCCCAGGGGGTGTCTGGTGCTGTGCAGGACAAAGGGTCCATCCACAAATTCGTCCCTTACCTGATTGCTGGCATCCAACACTCGTGCCAGGACATTGGTGCCAAGAGCTTGACCCAAGTCCGGTGAGCTTGGGAAGCTGGGACATGGGTAGAGGGGCTGGTTCAGGGCCAGCTACCCACATTTGACTTCTGCCCCTCTTCAGAGCCATGATGTACTCTGGAGAGCTTAAGTTTGAGAAGAGAACATCCTCAGCCCAGGTGGAGGGTGGCGTCCATAGCCTCCATTCGTAAGTCACCCTGTCCCTGGTGGGGCCTCTGCCATGCCTCAGGCCTCCTTCCTCCAGCCTTCACCTCACAGGTGGTCCTTCTGCCTGCAGGTATGAGAAGCGCCTTTTCTGAAAAGGGATCCAGCACATTGCCTCAGTTTTTTTCAATAAAAGTTTAGAAAAAAAAAGGTGATGCCTGATCTTTGAGGTCAACAGACAGGTGGGGCCCTGTAGCTGTCACTACCACAGATGTACACAAACACAGCACTCTGATTTTCAGGGGGAACCTCAGGCCCTGAGATAAATGTGCTCTGTGGACCTGGAAGGGGGTAGTTCCAGGTTCAAAAAGTTCCTCCTAAGGCTGCTCACAAAACAGCTTTGACCAGCTGTGGCTCCTGGGGTTTCAGTCTCACACTGAGCTGCTTTTACCCCTCTGGCTCCCAGGGGGTCAAAGAACAATCCCTGGGACTGGCATTCACAGGGCATCCTATTAGGCCATAGCTTGGCTATATAGGACCAAGTCAAGACACATAGATATTCCCCAACTTAAATATCTCTCGGCCAGGCATGGTGGCTCTCACCTGTAATCACTTTGGGAGGCTGAGGCAGGTGGCAACATAGTAAAACCCTATCCCTAATAAAAATACAAAAATTAGCTGGGTGTGGCGACATGTTCCTATAGTCCAGCTACTCAGGAGGCTGAGGCAGGGGAATCACCTGAACCCGGGAGGCAGAGGTTGCAGTGAACAGAGATCACCCCACTGCACTCCAGCGTGGCAGAGAGAGCACCTCAAAAAAAAAAAATTAGGTGCGGTGGTGGGGCCTGTAATCCCAGCTACACAGTAGGCGGAGGATAATCACTTGAATCTAGGAGGTGGAGGTTGCAGTGGGACAAGATCACACCACTGCACTCCCGCCTGGGTGACAGTGAGAAAAAAAAAAAATCAGTGATTTTGTGAGAAAAGGCATTGAGGTCCCCTGAAATCCGCACGTGAGCAAGTAGACAGGTCTAGAACGGTAAACGTACTATCCTAAGTAATCTAGATGAAAAAGTGACCCCTTGGTTTCTTCACATTCCTCTCCAAGAGCCCAGTAAGCCAGCAGCTCCTGGCCAGCAACACACTTGATACAAAATGGGAGAAGTGTATAAATTATTATGTTGGTAAGCAAGATAAGTGCCAAAGGGGAGATAAGGGTGAAAGCATTGGGAACTGGCAGAGTGTAGTTAGCAGGTCAGTTCCTGGTGGTTCACTGAGTAGCTTGGCCCAAAGATGTGAGTAAAGTCCCTCCTGGTGGGGGGATCAGAGCAGCTCCGGTTACTCGGCCTTCATTACACAAGAAGTTGAAGGTGGCACAGGCATTGGGCTGCAAAGAAAAGGCCAGAATCAGCCTGTCTAGTGCCAGGCCTGTACTCCCCACAGCATGCCCCAGTTGCAGGACTCACCGTGTCCTGCACTTCCACAGCAATGCCCCGCTGCCTCATGGCTCGAAGCACCCGGGACTGCAGCCTCTCAGTCCGGTCTCCAGTCCCCACCACAACAATCTCTAGGGAAGGGAGGGTGAGGCTAGTCTACAATTCTGTTGAGAGGTTGGGGTGGGGATTGCCTTTTGGAGCTCAAAGCACCTCTGCCCTGCCTCCCCTCCCCCCAGTACCTATCCGGGGCTCCAGCATCCAGAAGAGGGAAAAGCTCTCTTCGGTGATGTCCTGGTGAGATCCCACCTGTACAGGGATATGACTTATTCAGTACGACAAATCCACGCAGCGTCTCCCACCTCCATCCACTACGGGAGATAGAGGAAAGCCACGTTTACAGGGACACAAGCAGGCTGAGGACCTGTGACTCTGGACCTCAGTTTCCTCACAGCGGGGCAGGACTCACGTTCCATTGCAGCAACGAGTGCGGAAGCACAGCGCAGGGCCCGAGCACGCGGTTTCCATTGATCATGAAGCCGCGGCTGTTGTAGCTGTCGATGTACATCGTCTGAAAGCCCTCGCGTTCTAGCAGAGAGATGTGCGTCCGCTGATACAGCTCGTCATCTGCTGGCGAGAGCCGATGCCCCCGTCGCGGGGCCCTGCAGAGGGAAAGGGTCAGGGGCACACGGCCGGGCCGGGACCGGCCGCCCGAGAAGCCAGAAGGTGCGGGGTGGCAGTCGCCAGCCCTAGGGGGTGGGACGGTCAACGGTGCGGGGTCCAGCTTACGAGGGAAATTGAACAGGCAGACAGCGCAGCGAGGGTCGCGCTCGGTACAAGCTGCGTAGCGCGAGAACGGTGGCCATGGCTGACCGACGCGCGGCGAAGTCGTCACCGGCGCCGGTTGTTACAGGGTTGGCGGGGCCCTGCGGAGGCTGACCCAGCGCGGGTGCAGCGCCCCCTGCGTCCTGGAGGGCACAGCACAGCTCGGCCGGCCCCGCAGGCGAGTGTCATCTGTCCTGGGAGGACGAGTCCCTCGACCTCCAGCGCAGCTCCAATGTCATCACCTGCCGCTCGCCCCGCCCCGGGCCCTTGCCCACAGTCCTGGGGGAGTGGAACACCTGGTAGTGTGGCCGCCCTCAGGGCGTTGCCTGGGCCGCAGTCGCGGCCTGGCCCCCGGGTTCTCAGCTATTAAGCCGCGCTCGCGAGGCGGGGCAGCCGCCCACCTAGTCGTGAACTGAACACCTGGCCAGGCGGTCAGTGCCAGACTTCAAGCCCCTAATCCTAGCCTTTGGAGCTTCAGGCACCGTGGGCGAGGCAGCCGGCTCAAATTTCTCCGGCTGGCAGCCGAAGCACGCCCCGCCCTAACCGTCACCCGCGCGACCGTTGGCCTCTCCGTTGCGCTCTAAGAGGGGCGTGGCCGAGCGTGGATTGGCTTCTCGGGTGCTCCAGGGGGCGTGGCCAGGTGGTTTCTTCTTAAAATGGCTCCAAGTCTGCGGGCAGCCAGAGCAAGCGGAAGGGCAAGCCGTGGTAGTGTTTGGGTGGCTGTCCAGCTGGGCCAGACCGGGCAGAACTGGACCAGACTTGAAGTAGAAGCGCGTGGAGCATCACCTTGTCCTCGTTCACTCTGCTCTCGTCCTGGGAGTCCCCAGTCCCCCGTCTTGAACCAAGTCAAGGGCCTACTGGCGCGAGAGTCGCTGGCGCCCGCGCGGGGATTGGGTATCTCGGCACGCTGGCTCTGTCGTGGCCTCAGGGGAACATTGTCGCTTTCGCTACTCGCGGGGCTGGGCAAGCAGGAAGCTCGGCACAGTCGTGGCCTGGTGGTGGGTCTCCTGGGGGCGGTTGCAATAGGTTTCTGGGGGTCCCGCCGCTGCTGTGTGGGCCTCTGGTGCTCTGGGCGCTGGCAGCGTCACTGGACAAAGAGCCGCGAGCGCGGGGGTGTCCCCGAGGCGGACGCGTGGGTTTACTTCCTCTCCAGCCCCACGGGCGCGCTTCCCTCCTGGCGGATTCCGAAGCCCGCCCCGCCACCGTCACCGCACCAGTGGCCCAGGCTTCGTGGGACCAACAGGGCTAACCCTGCTCTGCGGATCTAATCTGGATCGGGACCCGGTCCCAGGGGAGGCCCCCACCTCCCCTTCTGTTGTTCTGGGGCCCAGGTGAGCGTCTTGTTCCCTCTAGACTCAGTTTCACAGCCTACTGCTGGGTCTACCTCCTGGGACTAGGGATGGGCAGGTTCTGATGTAGCCCCAGGGCGAGTGACCAGGGGGCGGGAGCTCCCCCGCCCCCCGCAAACGGCTGGACAGCGGGCAACGGAATCCCAAAAGCAGCTGTTGTCTCCAGAGCATTCCAGCTGCGCTTGGATTTCGTCCCCTGCTCTCCTGCCTGAGCAGCGCCCTGGCCCAGATGGGGTACTTCTGACCCCCAGACATACTTTACTGAGCCGCTTGGGTCTCAGTTCCTCTCTCAGGTGCGCCCTCAGGCTGGAGGTGATGGTTGTAGAAGTCGGAGAGCTGAAGCTGGTGGCCATCTCTGGAACCCTGAGGAGCACTGGCGAGGGAGGGTAGACCCAGGACCTCCGGGTAGGGCTGCAATGATAGTGAGTCCCCCAGGACCGCCTCAGCCCGCAGCTTGCTAAAGATAGCCCTCTACTTCCTGGGGAAAACCACCCCAACCGTCTTCGTGGATGAGAGTGAAGTCCTCAGTTTGGCTGAAGGTTTCCAACCCTGCTAAGCAGCTGTCTCCAAGTCATGCGCCTTCAGAATGGAAAGCGCTTTGGAATGACACGATCACTCCCGTTGAGTGGGCACCCGAGAAGCCATCGGGAATGTCGTGTCCGCCCAGTGCTCTTTCGGCGCCTCCCATCAGGGCATCAGCCCTGGCACAGAAAGCGGCCTTGTCAAGCTTTTCCTGCCCCCGGGTTTCCCTCCTCTCTGGATTTCCCAGCTCTCTTTGCTGGGTTAGCTTCGATCTTTATTAAAAGGAAGAAGTGGCCGGGCGCGGTGGCTCAAGCCTGTAATCCCAGCACTTTGGGAGGCCGAGGCGGGTGGATCACGAGGTCAAGAGATCGAGACCATCCTGGTCAACATGGTGAAACCCCGTCTCTACTAAAAATACAAAACATTAGCTGGGCATGGTGGCGCATGCCTGTAATCCCAGCTACTCAGGAGGTTGAGGCAGGAGAATTGCCTGAACCCAGGAGGCGGAGGTTGCGGTGAGCCGAGATCGCGCCATTGCACTCCAGCCTTGGTAAAAAGAGTGAAACTCCGTCTCAAAAAAAAAAGGAAGGGGTGGTGGTGAGTATGTTACATTGAAATGAAAACATTTGGGAACCTTTGCGGGGGCGGCGGGAGGAGAAAAAGAGCTCTCCCACTGGTAGAGGAGCAGGATGCTCCAACTAAGGTCTATTTCTCTGCTTCTTATGGTCGCATTATTTAGTTGGCCTATAATGGCTGTTGCCTAAAACAGGAAGCATAAGGATCGTTGTTAAAGTACAGCAGGTTAAAGGAGTCACATTAAAAGCTGTTTACTCTGGAAGCCGTCATGATGGTTTTAATTCCTCAGGTATGAAGAGAAGAAAACCGGAAATTATATCAGAGTGCGCACTTCCTGGGAATAAAGACCACCCGGGCCAAGCGCGGTGGTTCACGCCTGTAATCCCAGCGCTTTGGGAGGCGGAGGCGGGCGGATCACAAGGTCAGGAGTTCGAGACCATCCTGGCCAACATGGTGAAACCCCATCGCTATTGAAAAAAAAAAATGCAAAAAATTAGCTGGGCATGATGGCAGGCACCTGTAGTCCCAGCTACTCGGGAAGCTGAGGCAAGAGAATCGCTTGAACCCGGGAGGCGGAGGTTGCAGTGAGCCGAGACCGCACCACTGCACTCCAGCCTGAGAAATAAAGAGGAACTCCTCCTCAAAACAAAAAAAAAAAAAAAAAAGATGTTTTAAATAGGTCATGAAAGTGGCCTTAATGTTATACTGCCTTATTCCAGTGACAAGTATTCATCATGTGTAAAATGGGAGAAATATCGACACAAAGATGTGAGACTTCAATGAGAAGAGACGGTACCCTGTCTGAGCCCCAACCGGGTCGCGAGTTAAGGCCTGGTCTTCTCCCTGGTTAAGGCCTGGTCACAACGAAAGAACCTTAAGCTCGGGGAGGACCCTGAAGTTTCAGATCCGTGGCCCGGCTGTGCAGGTGGACCACGCGGAAGGCGCGGTAGGCCGAAAGCAGCCAACACTGCTCCCTCTTGCGCACCTGTCCACTTACGGGGACCGCCGCCTAATCCTCGCCCCAGCCAGTCGGTCCTTTCCGGAAGTTCCACCTCCCTAAATTTTTTTTCCGGTTCCGTTCACTCCTTCCGGTCACCATGGCGACCGGGCGCCTTAGTGTCGGGGAGACGTTGGGAGCCCTCAACGCGGCCCTGGGGCCAGGAGGTCCGGTGTGGATCAAGGAGACGCGCACCCGCCACCTGCGTTCCCGAGACTTCCTGGCGCCGCACCGCGCGCTGCAAGTGCGCTTCAATGACGGGCAGGTGGGCACGAGCCGGGCCGTACGGCTGGGAGCTCAGCCCCATGCCGTGGCCCGCTGACACCCCTGTTCTCCCACAGGTTCCCGAGCATGTGCTCCATGCCCTCGCCTGCCTACAGGGCCCCGGTGTGGCCCCGGTGCTGCGCTGCGCGCCGACCCCAGTGGGTCTGTCGCTCCAACTGCAGCGCCCCGCCGTCTTCGAGCGCGTCCTCAGCGCCGTGGCTGCTTATACCTCGCCCGCCTCACCCGCCTCACCCGGCCAGCGCGTCTTGCTACACTGCCCAGCACTGCGCAGCTCCCATTGCGCACTCCGCTTGAGCCAGCTGCGTACGGTGCTCGTGGCCGATCACCTGGCACGAGCTCTGCGCGCTCACGGGTGAGCGGGGCCGCGGGGCCGGAATGGAGGAGGGACCACTGGAGACCTATAGAGCAATCGGCGCCGCCCTTGGGGACTGCGCCTGGAGGTGGGAAGTCATGGCGAGCTGGACCAGGTGCGCAGTCTGAAGCGGCCGCCCTCCCTTTGCAGGGTATGCGTGCGCCTAGTGCCAGCTGTGCGGGATCCGCACATGCTGACCTTCCTGCAGCAACTGCGGGTGGACTGGCCCGCTGCCTCGGAGAGAGCTTCCTCCCATACTCTGGGGAGTCACGCACTTGCAGAACTTACCTCTTCTTATGACGGGAGGGCACTGTCCCCTGGCATCTTAGGCAGACTGTGTCTGAAGGAGCTGATGGAAGAACAGGGCTGCACAGCTGGCTATGACCCCAACCTGGACAATTGTCTGGGTAGGACCTGAAGCCTGGCAGGGCCAGAAAAGGCAGGAGAGGGTGGGGGGACATCTCCGCTTCTTGCCAGCCTCAGCACCTGTCTGTTCTCTTTGCAGTGACTGAGGATCTCCTCTCTGCACTGGCTGAGCTGCAGGAGGCTCTATGGCATTGGCCTGAGGACAGCCACCCAGGCCTGGTTAGTGACTCCCAATCCTGTAGGTTCTGGCAAACCAAGTATATACTGTACTTCCACAGTGATGATTGTCCTCCCTTAGGCTGGGGTCCCAGATACTGGTACAGACAGTTGCCTGGTTATACACGTGGTTAGCTGTGAAGAGGAGTTCCAGCAACAGAAGTTGGACCTGCTTTGGTGGAAGTTGGTTGACAAGGCTCCACTCAGACAGGTAGGTTAATGATGGTGGAGCTCCCCACCACCTCACCCCCAACCTCAGAGGGCCCTTCAAAACCCACCACGGGGCATGTTAGCTGACAGGTCCAAAAACCAACACTTGACCTTGGGGGAGTTGCTGGACTTGAGAGGGCATGTGAAGCAGGTGCAGAGGCTCCAGGGAATGGGGGCTCTGTAGACACATCTCAAGAACATTGAAGACTAGGTTGAGGAGGCTGGACTGTGTGTGGCCTGAGGGACTGGGTAGGAGCCACTCAACCTGGCAGTTCCAAGTTGAGGGAGTCTGGATTGAGTGGAGGCACCAGATTCAGGCCCCTCCAGGGAGTACTGCTGAGAGTAGTGCCAGCTGGGCTGAGCCCTGCCATCTTCCTGACAGAAGCACCTGGTCTGTGGCCCAGTGAAAGTAGCTGGTGCACCTGGCACTCTGATGACTGCCCCTGAGTACTACGAGTGAGTGAGGCTGGGACAACCTAAGCCAGGGTAGTGTGGGGGTACTCTTTGCTGGGACCCTGCCTACCGGCCCTCCTCTCTCTTCCAAACACAGGTTCCGGCATGCCCAGGTGTGCAAGGCCTCAGCACTGAAGCATGGTGGGGATCTGGCACAAGGTGTGCCTGGGAAACCCTGGCTATCTTCTGGGTTAGGGGTAGGTTGTTTGCATCCCTGCCCTTGCCTGCAGACTGACTGAACAACCCTATACTCCCTCAGACCCAGCCTGGACAGAGATCTTCAGTGTTCTCTCTGTGGCCACCATCAAGTTTGAGATGCTGGGCACAGCCCCACAGAGTCAGGTGAGACAGGGCCAGGGTTGGGCGACAGGTTATGGTGGCTGCCTTGTCTCTGTAGCTGTGCTCCTATTCCGCAGATCCTCCTGGCTCTGGCTGACAGCAACATCTCCACGAAGGGTACAAAGAGTGGCACCTTTGTCATGTATAATTGTGCCCGTCTTGCCACACTCTTTGAGAGTTACAAGTGCAGTATGGAACAAGGTCTGTACCCTACTTTTCCTCCTGTGAGCAGTCTGGACTTCTCACTGCTACATGATGAGGTGAGTGTCCCTCCTGGTAGCTGGCACAAGGAGGTCTGGACTTTCCCTCCCAGCACCTTTCTTCCCCACAGGGTGAGTGGTTGTTGCTCTTCAACAGTATCCTCCCCTTTCCGGATCTGCTGAGCCAGACAGCAGTGCTGGACTGCACAGCCCCAGGGCTCCACATCGCTGCACGCACAGAGATGGTGAGGCACAGACAACCAGGATAGACACTGCACACTCTATTCTTTATTAAGGTCTGGGGCACAAGAGCAAAGAGATGGTCCAGTGACTCAGTCTCTATCTCTAGATGTGCAAGTTCCTGGTACAGCTCAGCATGGATTTCAGCTCCTACTACAACCGGGTACACATCCTAGGGGTGAGCACACAGCAACTAATGGGGTGGGAAGTGCAGAGGGGTATAGGGTAAATGCAAACGAAGCAGAGGCTGAGACCAGCAGGCCCCTTCTCCTTCAGGAGCCTCGACCACACCTCTTTGGTCAGATGTTCGTCCGCCTGCAGCTTCTGAGGGCTGTGCGTGAGGTGCTCCACACTGGCCTGGCTATACTGGGTCTCCCTCCACTGAGCCATATCTAAGGCCACAGAGGCTTCAATATTTGGGAGTGTTCACAAAGTCATCAACTGGAAAAAAAGCAAAAACCCACAGCCAAAATAAATTGTTATTGTTACTAAGTTCTGTCTTGTCATGGGGAGTGGGGCATATTCTTGGCAGCACTCCACTCACCTTCAGCTCTTGCACCGATGTCAGGAACCCACGGCCACCACCTCCTCCCCTCAAGGCATGCTGAGCATGGGCATAGACAGCCCATCCCTGCTCCACACTGTCTGTGAGCAGACCCCATACCCAGCACACCGGCCACCTTGGGATACCTCAATCATACCAGTTATAAACCTCAAGCCCCTGACCTCCAAGGGCACAGCGGTGGCCAAACTCAGGGCTCACAGGCCAGCAGTCCATGTCAGCCACATCTGGCACATGGTACACAGTGCTGTTCATGAAGGTGGGTTCACCATGCCCCAGACGCCAGAAGGTCAGCCGTTGATCAATGGAAGCTGAGACCATAAGGCTTGGGCTTAGGATCTTGAGGCCTGTCACATGGGCAGCATGTGCACAGGGGACAGAGTACTCCTCTATGACACGCAGCTGGGGTACCAGCCCAGCCTCTCCCACAGCCTCTTCTGGCTCTGGCATCTCCACAGCAAGCACGAATACATGGAGGGATCCATCTTCACTGCCACTGGCCACAAGATGGTGGCCCTCACGGGTGGGCAAGGTGTGCAGGCTATTGATACCACAACTGTGGGCCTGGAGAGTCAGGGAGGGGGTGCAAAGCCCTGGAGGAAAAGGGTAGTTGTCAGGGCCCTGCCTGCCACGTGTATGAAGGGTATATGACAGGTGGGGAGGGATAGCCACGGTTGCACATTAGCTACTCACGGAAGGGAAGCCCAGGATCCACTGGGGCCTCCAGGACAGGAGAGCCATGATCTAGCATGGTGGTGAGATCCCAGAAGGCCAGGTTGCCATCAGTAGCTGCGCTGCACAGAAGCATCCTCCTGGAAGCCAGGAAAACACAGCGCGGTCAATGACAGAGATGAAGCGCAACGGGAACCCCCACCCAGCCCATGCAGGACCATCATCCAATCCCTCTTACCGCCTCTGGTTGGGTGCCTCGTGTGTAAAGGAGTGGACCTTGAGGACACATCGCTTATGGTGGAAGGTTTCAGCAAGGAGCTGCAGGATCCTCCCGGAATCCCGCAAGAGAAAGAGCCTGGGGGGTGGGGGGTGGCCCAGCTCAGAACGCATCCTAGACAACCTTACTTCCTTTGTCTCCCGCCCCACTGGGCCCTATGCTCTCACCTTACAGCCCCATCACTACAGGCTGCAGCCACAAGGGGGCCAAGGCCAGGCTGTTCAAGTTCACACACAGCAAGGGACATATACCTGCAGAGACAACATGCAGCTGTCAGGTGGAGCCTGCAAGCCTGGGAGCATCTGCGTGATCCCACACCACACCCTGCCGAGGAATATGGTATTACCTGGTCTCCGGGTCTACCTTGACCATCCGATGCCGATTGCGCTGCCGGTCCCAATACTCATCTAGCCGGTGGGACGAAAGGTGCATGACATGGCAGGCGAGGCGGCTTGGGGTGCTGGGGTCCGGAGTAACCATGATGCTGAAGCAATGCATCTCAGCCCGCCCCCCGGCAGACACCACATGGGCAGTCAGGCCCGGCTGAGGATCCTTAGGGCCACCTGGGGTGCCAATGCCCCACACAGCCACAGCGCGCACCGAGGAGATATGGTTACAAACAGCTGTGAGTGCGTGGGCTGAGCCTGTGGTTGTAGGGAGTGCCAGGACACAAACAGTAGTGTCCTCACTACAGGTGATCACAATGTCAGTCAAGTTGGGCCCCTCACTGCCAGGCTCCAGGTCGTCAGGCTCCACAAAGCTGGGCACTCCATATTCAGTCCCCAGGGTGATGGTGCCCACACGCTTTACACAAGTGATCTCACGGCCATGCAGCCCCTCCCGGAGAATCACGTGTGGCCGGGTGCAGCCACCCAGAGCCCTGTACAGCATGACATCCCCATCCTTGAGGTAGGCAAAGGCCATAGCCGCCTCAGTATCAGAGAAGGCCCATGAGCGGTGCCCTCCACCACAGTTGACGATGTGCAGCTTCTCGTGTGACCGGGGGCTCCACACCACAAACTCATTGGCATGGAAACCCAGGATGACCATGCTCCCATCAGGCACTATACGGAGCCCAGCTAGCCAGTTCATGCCTCGACAAGACTTCTGCCTTAGGACTGGCTGGAGCTGGCAGTCTCGTACAAATAGCTGGTAGTAGGCACCATCGCGCCCGGTGGTATACACATAGCCACGATGGCATGTGACTGAGGTCACACCCTGCTTCCCATGCAGAGAGGGCAGGGCAGACACTGGGCCCAACCCAGTGAAAGCATTCCCACTGCTATTACTGCCACTACCCACTCCGGGTACCCCAGCACCAGCCCCAGCCTTGCCTCCCATCCCAGGGTCCTTGAGCAGACCTGGTCTGGAGGGGAACAGCAGCACAGAGCCCCGGCGGTCACCACACACCAGGAAGTCACCTGGGGGCAGGAAGGCGCTGCATGTGTGCCATCTCTGCTTGCTTGGGGGCAGCAGGTACCGACAACGTTCCTTGACAACAATGGCCTTGCCAGAGGGTGCGGCTGAGATCTCTAGGCAAGCCACTACCCCGCCAGGGCCTGATGCCAGCAACAGGAGCTCCTCATAACCACGCAGGGCCCAGCTCAGGCTGTGCACCTTCCCAGGAAACAGGGTTTGGTCCACAGCAGCAGTTGGAGTGTTGATGGGGACAACCTTGACACCACCTTCTCCATTGGCCATGGCACACAATCCAAAGCCCTCAGGACCAGGAGCTGCCTCCAGCAGGCAGTAGGACTGGAAATGTTTATCCTCTAGCAGTTGCTCCCAGCACTTGACCTCAAGGTCATAAAGATACAGGGCCCCTGTATCAGTCACTGCCAGTAGTCGCCAAGAGCCAGCCAGCGTCACGGCCTTGAGGGTACCTGGCCTACTACGGGACTTGAAGCAGAGAGCCGAGACCCCCAATCCCCTGTACCCACGCCCTACCAAGTGCCACAGCCGAATGCCTGAGTCATCACCCCCAGTAATCACCCAAGCCTGCCTCTCATGGGCAGCTATGGCCCGGATCCCACGTCCCTGGTGTCCTCGAAAGGCCTGGAGGATTTCACCTTCGTGGCTCCACACCAAGCAGACACAGTCCTCTCCTGCACTGATAAGGTAATTCTCTAAGAGCTTGACCTGCCATACACGGGCGCTGTGCCCAAAGCAGTGCCCAATATTTTGCACCCGACCCCCAGGCACTCGCAGGTCGCCCACCTTCCAGATACGAACGCTTCGGTCTTCTGAAGCTGTAGCCAGCAAACCCTTGCTTTCCAGGTATGACATGCTGAAGATGATGCCCACATGCCCACTGACTCGTCGGTCAGGTGCCACAGGTTTATTGTCTGTTAAGGCAGTTGCTGGGTACCAGACCAAGAGCTGGTTGGAAACAGCACCTGCCACAATGGTCAGTTCCTTCCACGTGTCTCCAATCAGGCAGGCTGAGGAGAGGGTGCACCTGTCTGTGCAGGGCACCTCTTGCAGGATGCACCCTACTACAGGGTCATATAGCACCACTGAGTTGTGGCCCAGGGCCAAGGCCATATTTCCCTCAAGCCAGCGTGCATCCCAAATCCAGTCAGACATGTTCCACAGGCCAGAGCGCCAAAGCTCCCGGAATTGGCCCTGTCCCCAGCTAATTTTCACAACTCGGAGTCCCTTGCTTCCAAACACAGCCACCATGGCCTCCGAGTCAAGGTCTCCATTAGGCTCTGGCCGCACCCGGAAGCCGTGGATAAGATAGTGGCCAAGTAGGTTCTGCACTCGCTTTATCATCTGTAGATGTCCACCGAAGTCCAAGCTGTACACCAGGACATCAGGCCCCTCACCTAGAGAGAGGCAAAGAGCCATATCAGAGCTATGTACCTAACTCTGATGGCCCATGGGGAAAGAGATGGGGATCAGGGAAACTTCTCAGCATGTAGCCTATGAATACACCAGGACACACAGTCCTGCAGCTTGAAACTTAGAAAATCCCTGGTCTCAGCCGGGCATAGTGGCTCATGCCTGTAATCCTAGCACTGTGAGAGGCCAAGGTGCATGAATCACCTGATGTCAAGAGTTCGGGACCAGCCTGGCCAACATGGTGAAACCCCATCTCTACTAAAAATAAAAAAGTTAGCTGGACATAGTGGCAGGCATCTGTATTCCCAGCTACTTGGGAGGCTGAGGCAGGAGAATCGCTTGAACCCAGGAGACGGAGTTTGCAGTAAGCCAAAATCGCACCACTTCACTCCAGCCTGGGCGAAAGAGTAAATCTCTGTCTCAAAAAAAAAAAAAGAAAATCCTTGGTCTCAGCTTCAGCTGGACTTTCAGCTGACTTTGTGCTTCCCTCATCAGTCACATTTGATGTTCAGTTTGACCACAAATTTCTCAAACTCAGAGCCGCCTCCTTACTTCATTATTTTTTTTTTTTCAATTAAAAAAAACAGAGGCCAGGCATGGTGGCTCATGCCTGTAATCCCAGCACTTTGGGAGGCCAAGGCGGGTGGATCACAAGGTCAAGAGATTGAAACCATCCTAACACGGTGAAACCCTGTCTCTACTAAAAATACAAAAAATTAGCCAGGCACATGCCTGTAGTCCCAGGTATTTGGGAGTCTGAGGCAGGAGAATCACTTGAACCGGGGAGGCAGCGGTTGCAGTGAGCTGAGATGGCACCACTGCACTCTAGCCTGGGCAACAGAGCGAGACTCCGTCACAAAAAAAAAAAAAAATAGAGACAGGGCGCAGCATGGTGGCTCACACCTGCGATCCAAGCACTTTGGAAGGCAGGAAGATTGTTTGAGCCCAGGAGTTGGAGACCAGCCTGGGCAACATGCCAAAACTCCATTTCTACAAAAATTAACCGGGCATGATGGTGCATGCCAGTAGTCTCAGCGGAGGCTCAGGTGAGAGAATCACTTGAGCCCAACAGGTGGAGGTTACAGTGAGCTGAGATTACACCACTGCACTCCAGCCTGGGCAATAGAGTTGGACCCTCTCTAAAATAAATAAATAAATAAAATAAAATTGGCTGGGTGCGGTGACTCATGCCTATAATGCCAGCCCTTTGGGAGGCCAAGGCAACCAGATCACCTGAAGTCAGGAGTTTGAGACTGACCTGAGCAACATGGAAGAACCATCTCTACTAAAAATACAAAATTAGCTGAGCATGGTGGGGCATGTCTGTTATCCCAACTACTCAGGAGGCTGAGGCAGGAAAATTGCTTGAACTCGGGAGGCGGAGGTTGTGATGAGCCGAGATCGCACCATTGCACTCCAGCCTGGGCAACAAGAGTGAAATTCCATCTCAATTAAAAAAAAAAAGAGCCGGGCGCGGTGGCTCACACCTCTAAGCCTAGCACTTTGGGAGGCTGAGGTGGGTGGATCACCTGAGGTCAGGAGCTGAAGACCAGCCTGGCCATCATGTTGAAACCTCGTCTTTAAAAAATGAAAAGTAAAAAAAAAAAAGAAAAAGAAAAGAAAAAAGAAAATGAGAAGGATCTTGACAATGCAAAAAGAAAATAAACAGTATAAAATGACAAAGTCTAATCCAGTGGTTCTCAACAGGGGGCAACTTTCCCCACAGGAGACATCTGGCAATATCTAGAGACAGTTTTGGTTGTCTCCAGGGGTTGTGCTATTGGCAACTAGAGCCAGGATAATGCTAAACATCCTACAATGCACACATAGACTTCAAACAAATAATTATCTTGTCTAAAACGTCAATAGAGGCAAAGACTGAGAAAACCCTGGTCTACTCTAACCAGATTGGGTGAGTTTGTAAGGGGAGGACACAACAGTTAAGAGTTAGGAATCAAGGATAAGCATCAGTTAGCCAGAGAAAGGGAGGCAGAAGAGGGGGATGGGCGGGGGTGGTGGTGCATGGGGCGCTGGGAGGGTTTGTAGCTTTCTTGGTAGAGAAAATAGCATGTATGATTGCCCTGAAGTAGGCAAGAGCATTGACTACGGTGGCTAGAATAGGAAATGAAGGGCTCAAGAATGGGCTAGAGACACAGGGTATGGTGGCTCATGCCTGTAATTCTAGCACTTTGGGAGGCTAAGGTGGGTGGATCACCTGAGGTCAGGAGTTTGAGACCAGCCTGGCCAACATGGTGAAACCCCGTCTCTACCAAAAAATACAACAATTAGCCCCACATGGTAGTGGGCACCTGTAATCCCAGCTACTCAGGAGGATGAAACAGAAGAATCACTTGAACCTGGGAGGCAGAGGTTGCAGTGAGCCAAGATCGCTCCACTGCACTCCAGCCTGGATGACAGAGTAAGACTTTCAAAAAAAAAAAAAAAAAGGAATTGTAGCTATATAAAAGTCACTCTGGAAGCCACAGAAGTAGGTGAATTCACTTGCAGAGCTTCCTAAACTGCATTTCCCAAGTTATTCCCCACCTTAAAACCCTTCAATAGGTTCTCCCCACTACTCTTAGGGAAAAAGTTAGATTAAACCCTGAAACAGTCTGGCCTCTGCTTCCTTGTCCAGCCTCCTTTCCTCCCAGGCTCCACTCCTGCTGTAGCTTCACACGAATTCCTTCCTTCCCCCAAAATGACAGATTCTCCCAGCCTCAAGCCTTTGACATGCTTACTCTCTACCAGGAACTCATCCCTTTTCCTAGTTCACTCTTATGGTTTTTTTTTTGTTTTTTTTTTTTTTTGAGACGGAGTTTCACTCATGTTACCCAGGCTGGAGTGCAATGGCGCGATCTCGGCTCACCGCAACCTCCGCCTCCTGGGTTCAGGCAATTCTCCTGCCTCAGCCTCCTGAGTAGTTGGGATTACAGGCACGCACCACCATGCCCAGCTAATTTTTTGTGTTTTTAGTAGAGACGGGGTTTCACCATGTTGACCAGGATGGTCTCGATCTCTTGACCTCGAGATCCACCCGCCTCGGCCTCCCAAAGTGCTGGGATTACAGGCTTGAGCCACCGTGCCCGGCCTACTCTTATGGTTCTTTTGAGTTTCTGCTTATCTGTTCCCTCTCCAGGAGACTTAAAAGTTTAGCTTTTGGTAGGAACACCGTGCTCCAAGAATCCCCACACCAGATTAAAACTGGGTCAACCCCACCCCCCACACACACTCTCTTAGGACTGGTGGCAACTCGCGCAAGGCCTGACAGCCAAGGCCCTGCCTCAGGGCCTTTACACAACTCAGCAGCACCAACACGGGTCATTAGTGGCTTCATGTAATGACTGTTCAAGACCAGACTGGACTCTGATACCTCAGGTCCCAGGCCTCTGCAGCCAGCCATTGGAGCCTGTCCTTTGTGACCTGGTTCTCCTCGGTGGGACCTCCACACCTGATTTCCTGGACCTCCACACCTGATTTCCTGGACCTCAACTATCTCAGGAGGGGTCTCAGCCTTCGCTTCCCAGGGCACTGCCCCCTACTCGGAAACGTCTCATCCACTATTTTCTGCGACGCCACCCTCCTCAGAGGATCTTCATCCCCACCTCACCTGCCCCCGAGAGGCCACACCCCCTTGCCATCTCCCAGCCCCGCCTTCCCCAGATTCTACCACTGGTCGGATATAATCTGAAGGCAGTTGGCTGGTCTTGGGGCATCATGTCACCTGGTTTAACTTACAATGCCTTTCCCAAAAGGAGCGGAAGCAAAGGCCCCCTAAAGGCCTCCTTCTCCACCTCCCGGCTTAGCCAGGTCTACACCAGAGAGGCCAAGCCCCACCCCATCTCCTAAAAGAAGGCACACCCCCCAACCCTCGGTTCCCTGGCCTCCGCCACCGCCCGGCCGCGTTCCACTGCATCTTCCCGTGGCTCCACCCGCCCTTTACCCGTGGGCTGAAGTTTTTGAAACGCCGCGGCAGCCACACCAGCTTTGTCTCTCAGGCCCCGCCCTCCTCAGGTTGGTCCTGGTCCCCGCCGTCTCCTGAGCTCCCTTCCCACCTCCGATCCAGCCTCAGCCTGCTGCCCCTCCTCCTCCTCAGGGCATCCCTTTGTTTCTGTGGCACCGCCCTAGGCGGGCGCTGTTTGTTTCCCCCTGGCGTGCCTCAAGCCAAGCCTCACCCGCCAACAGCCGGTCCCCCACGCACTCCAGACCCGTGACTGGGAGGAGTATAAGCTCCGAGGTTGCTCGCGGCCAAACGTAGTCCTCGAGGGCGTCCATGTCGATTCTCCAGGTGCAGAGGCAGCCGCGGATAAGAAGGGAGCTGAACTCTCGCGAGAATGAGCCTCCCCGGCCCACCGCACTGCCCATCAATAGCGCCCTCAGCTACAGGTAGCAGAGACCAGGGCGCCCGCTGCGGATGTCCAATGACGACCCTTCGTCCTACGCAATCCAGCTCCTGATTGGCGAGGCCCGCGGAGGGCAGCTCTTACTCCGCCCCCTCACATGACGCTTGCAGGGTGTTCCTAGCTGCCAGCTCGTTGCACCTGGCCTGGCCTCCCTCCCGCCGACCCGGAGTTTGTCCGGCCCGAACCTTGTCGTTTTTTTATTTGACGGGGCAGCATGGGGTCAGTACACAATAAATAACATGAATATAGGAACTACGCCGTATCGCGGCTGGCAGGGTGGGGCTAGACATTGGCCAGACCTTTAGTCTGCAACAGGACAGGAGGACAGCTGGATCTCCGATCTTGGGCAGCTGGCGACCCGCGGCTGGGAACCAGGGCCAACTCTCCCCTCAGAGCTCCACGCGCGCATCGCGGTAGGCCCGGTCTAGAGCCCACTCGGGCTGTGAGTCGGCACCCCCTTCGCGGGCCAGGCGGGCCATCTCCTGTTGGAACAGCGCTTGCCGCGCTCGGCTGGGGTCCACATTGATCCAGTTGTTGGCAATCCACTTGGTGCCGCGCGTGACCAGGCAGCCCCCGTGCAGCGAGTAGTCGTCTACGTCACCCACCCAACCTACAAGAGGAGGGTGACATGAGATCCTAGGCTGGGCTGGCCAGAGCTTTGCCTCATAGGGACCAAGAGCATGACCAAGGTGGGCTCAGCTGTGCATTCCTTGTGTAGCAAACACCCAGACCCAAGGCTTCCTTGGGGGCTCCTCATCTCACCCAACTAATGTATAGTCAACACCACTGGCCCTCCGAAACCAGCTTTCTTGCTCTTGGGCCTGTCCATAGCCCTTCCCACACTGGGTTAGCAAGGGACATGTGTCCCAAGCCCCAGGGAGTAGGAGGGCTGGGGCATCAGGGAATGATCGGGATGGTGATAGCCCAGTAGGCAGAACGGGTCCTGGGGCAGTCTGCTGAAGTCACTAAGGATGGTCTGTGGGAGGCACCAGGAGCAGAAAACCATTTGGAAAGCAGCCAGAAACAGCACTCCCTGGTGGCAGACAGGGGCTGGGTAAGAGGAAGCTGTCCTCAGGGCACCCCCCCAGGCCTGGCCATAGGCCCTCACCTTGCCCATCAGGCAGGTAGTTGTACCAGAAGACTGCCGTGCCCTGTCGGGGCTTGACACGCAGGTTTCCCTTGTCACAGTGCCTCCGTGTGTCACGGAGGTCCACGTCATCCTGAATCAGACTCTGTGGGCAGCAGGGTGGTGGGGTGTTCAGCCTCTTCCCACTCTATGGCCAGGCCAGTCAAGGGTGACCAAAGGGATACCAACCAGATATGCCCAAGGAATCACTTGGGCCCACATCCTTAGACCTGGAGAGGTGTATACTTCACTTGCCCAAGCCCCTGCCAGCCCACAAGATTGATAGCCCAATTGACCCTTACCATTTCATCATAGGTTCTGTTATCTGCTACAGGGAAGACAGTCTCACCCCCACCGGTGACGTTGTTCAAATAAAACAGCACTGTCATGTAGCTGTAAGGCAGGGGGGCCACTGAGCGTCCCCAGTTGTGGATGCTCCCAGGGGCTTACCTGTGGGCAGGATAAGCTGCCCAGGTTCCTGTTGCCAGGGACCAGGACAGACTGGGATGGGTGACAATAGGGAAGGCCACTGCCAAAATGTCCCTAGCCCCTCCTTCCCCCAAACCCAGTCTCTTACTGTGAGTTGCAGTGGTTTTTTGGCCAAGATCACAGGTTCACTTAGCTAAATGCCAGGCCCTGAGCAACGGCCTAGCAGGGAAAGGTAGGCTAGCAGAAGCAGCAGGGCACGCTGAAGGGCTCCTTGGGGACCGGAAGGGGCTGGGCCAGAACAGCCACCTGAAGAGGAAAGAACTGCCTTGGCAGGGGAGGGAGGCACAGCTTCAGCTTCTCTAAGTGGAATCAAGATCAACAACTGGGGGAATAGGCAGGACAAGCTGGGGGCCCAGCCTTGCCCCTTGCTTCACAACTCTGGAGGCAATTTTTGGTGTCTGTGGGTACTTCAGTCTGTGTTGACTCCAGTAGACATGATAGCCAGTAACCACCCCTTTCCTGCCATTTGGTAAACAGCTTGTGGGGAGAGGTAGGGGCATCACTGACCGTGCCAAGGGGCACGTCCACAGTGCAGGGCTGCGCCTGTGTCATGGGCGTTCCTGGTCTGGGGATTGAAGGCAGCCCCCAGTTGGGAGATACTTGCCGGCAGGAGGTCTCGAAGGGTACAGACTCGTTGGCTACCAGCTTGGTATGGGAGCAGATGGTCTCTGGGTACACAGGCCCACTGTCCACATGGGCATGGTAGTGGCCCCCCTCACCATATCGAACAACCTGCAGCGGCTCGCTGAGCTCCACGATCTCAGGCGACAGGCGAGTGAGGCGCAGCACCCTGGTGGGCAGCAGGCATTTGGCTGGGTAGTCCCATGCAAGGTGGTGACCTGAAGGAGCTGGCCAAGGTGAACCCTGGGCCTGCCACAAGCTCTCCCTGCCCACCTCCCCTGGAAGTCCCTTAAGCCATCTCAGACTGGCCCTGTATGAGCAGGAAGGGCTTACTCATGATGAGTCCTTCTCCCTCAGATGCCAGAGACAGAGACACCTGCTGTGTGGAAAAGATGACATTTCCACTAAATAAAGGGGATGGGGAGGCCTGAGGTCCTCCTCCCTAGAAGGAAGTTGTTTATTTTAAAACCCTTTCCTGCTCTGACAGAAGGGGTCTTGTAGACAAAGATAAGGGGTCATTTCTCTAATCAGCAGAAAGGAAGAGCTCAATCTCTTTCTAATCCCAGTCACCCATTGTGTGTGTGCCTGCAAGGAGGGCTAATTTGCCTTTGCTAATTGCCTGTTTTTCAGTGGGTCTCAATCCTGGTCTAACAAATGGAAGTTAATCCCAAATGGATTAATCCATTCTGTCCTCTTGGCCCCAGACAAGGACTTCTGTGGAGGCCCTGCTCAGCCTTCTCTCCCCTGCTCCAGTGAGAACAGCCTCAGGTGCTCACCTCTGGCGGATGGCACGCATGACGTGGTGGGCACCCTCACCCTGGTAGAGCCAGGTATGGTGGCTGTTCCGCACCAGCTCACTGGACTCTGCCTTGTGGCTCCTCATGTACTTGTGGAAGTCCCGAAGGTCCATGTTGGAGAACTCCTGCAGACTCAGCACTCCTGCACAGGGTACCCGCCATCAATGCCCGCCAAGCCCATGCTGGGAGGCCACAGTGGCAGGCTGCACTTCCTTACCTACCCCAAAGGCAGCAGCTGCCCCTGACCTCAGACACTGAGAAGCCATGTACACTTGTCCCCCACCTGGATTTTTGGGTCAGGCGAACATGATTTCTGTCATATCAGGCCCTAGAGGAAGACCCAGAGCGGTTCCTTTTCTCAGTTTAAGCCTTAATTTGACCCTAAGAAGGAAGAGGCCCACCCCCTATTAGAGTGGCAGAGAAGGTTCTCCAAAGGAAGCTTGAGCCATATGGCAAGGGCCCTAGGCCAAGAGCCAACCCTGGTCCTCCAGCCTGGCTGTATAGAATGGTGGCCAGTCTCCAGCCTGTGGAGGGTGAGGAGAGAGCATGCAGTGCTGGGCCTCATCCAGGACCTTATATATGCCAAAGTGCAAGCAGGGTCAGTCCCCAGGGAGTTCCTCATGACCTCAGGTCTCATCCTGGGTGGAACCTGCCTCAACAACCCTGCCTACTGCATTATCAGCTCACCTTAGCAATGAAAGTCAGGCTACCCCCTGGCATGAGAACATCTTCCATGACCCCTGTTCAAACCGGAAAGCAGGGGCTCCACCCTCTTGGGGTTCTGGAAGAGTAGCTGGTGTCTTTGCTCCATATTATTCTGGCTGACCCAAGGATGTCACCTTCCACCCTTTGGCCCAGATTCCTCAAGGGTGGGGGACATTCAAGGGCTGTGAGCCTGTCACCGGCTCTATTCTGGGGCCTGTAGCAGTATGGCAGCCATCCAGCCACAGATCTTGGCCAGATTCTTCACTCTGATTCACCAGCTGCAAAGCTACTCTTCCAAGTCCTTTTTGACTGCTGTTTCTTCCTCACTTGGCCCAGAATTTGGGCATGAGGATGATGACCACACCTCAGAAACTGCCTGAGAGTTATTACCAGAGAGGCACCACTTGCACGACAGCTTCCCTGCCTGCCCCTGCCCCCAGCAGTTAGCACAGTTGGCAGAACTACCACTTCAGGCACTTTGGCCTGACTACAGATGGATAGGAGGAAGGCAAGGGAGATCTCACTTAGACCAGGGAGGTTGTCTGCTGGGGTGGACCTCATGTCTGGCTGGAGAGGTGGATGGAGCAGGGTGAACAGCCAAGGTCTAGCTGGCCCCACTGTCACCTTGCTTCTGCTCCAACTCTGTTCTCTGCCAACTAGTAGCCCTACTTCCTGTCCCTAGGCTCTCAACTCTACCTGATGAGGCCAAAAGGGTCTCCAAGAACTGCGCTCTAGACCATCACCAAGAGGAATGGGGGGCCTGGCTGCCTGCCTGCTTCCCAGGGGTGAAAAGCAAAGCTGGATCCTCACCTCGGCACCTCTGGCCACTATAAAGGTGTACAGAAAGGCTGCCTATGGGGGAAGGGCCCAGGTTTTCAAGGTGGTACACCTGGGAGTGGGCAGGAGGCGTACGGGGACAGGACTGTGCAGAGGCGTGAGCTCACCATCACCATCAGGGTCAGCCTTGATCGCGGCGTACATCTCCTGAATGCTCTCTGGAGTCATCCACCAACCATTTCCCAGGCGAGTCTGGGCCAGGACCTAAAGCATAAGAGGGATCCTCATTGGGGTGACCCCAATGATGGAGAGCCAGCAGAGCACAGATGGCCCAGTGCTTGCTGTGGAGTGAAGTGTTCAGGTGACAGGGCATGGATGAGGACACAGGGCTGGGCAGAGCCCATTGGGCTGAAGTGAGTGCAGGTAGAGAGGTACAGAGCATCTGAGGAGAAGGCTGGGGGCTGGAGGTTAAGAGGCATAGGGCCACTGGCATTCCCGGACTAAAGGCCTGAGGCCTTCATGGGAGTACTGTTGGTTGGAAGCAGAGGGAAGGTCAGGCCTGTGTCCCACTCAGATACTCCGGGTGAGATGGGGAGCCAAGTCCTGGGTGTGAAGGGAGAACAGGCACCCAGGGGAGACCTGGTTAGGGCATGACCACCAGGCCCCTCAGGAAGACCAGAGGGTTCTCTGTGAGCAGCGCCCCCACCCACCCTGCCAGACTTCTCTCAGAAGCTTGGTCCTCCAGCCTGGCTGTAGAGTGTGTGAGAGGTATGCAGAGAGATAGACAGGCTGCTGGCCACCTCAGAGCTGCCGCTCCATCCACCATGAGTTCTATGGGGCCCTCAGCCATGAGAGCAAGGAACACAGGCTACACATGGTACATCCCTGGAAAACTGTGGCGATAAGCACCATCACCCATGGGTGGATCCTCCTGCCATCTTCTGAGATTCCCAGGGCAGCCAGGGGCTCTCCAGAGGGAAAGGGGCCCCCCCCGGGGTCTGGGCATGCCCAGGCAGGTCTGGGTGGTATCTGACTCTTGGAACCAGGGCTGGGCTGGACAAGTGACCTGGCCACCAGAAAGGTGATTCTGGGCACTCCCACCCTGAGCCTACTCAGGTCCCAGGATTCCAACCTCACGGAGCTGCAAGCGCCCATCACGGTTCTGGTCCAGCAGCTGGAAGAGGTCCAGCTGGCTGACCTGCATAGTGCTCATTGCCTCTTCATACTCTTCAGTGGGCAGGATCTGGCTACGCTGTAACCCCTTCATCTGCGCCAGATGGATGATGAGCCGACACTCTTCATCAGTCAGGAAGCCAGGGATTTCTGCCAGAAGAGGAGGTGGGTGAGGCCAAGGACTGAGCCCGGGCACTGGTGCACCCAGTACCTCCCCACAGGTTTCCTGGCGTACTGCATGTGCCTCAGTGGCCACCAGGTCTGGAGGACTTTACACACCCTTTGATTCTGACTTGTCAAGATTGAGTTGTCCTGCAAAGGCTGGCTGGTGTTGGCAATGTGGGACCTCTCTTGTTGATGATGAGAGCACATTTTCCAGGAGAGCCCTGGAGGTGAGCCTGAGCTAACCTGGAGATGGGCTGGCCCATCTTTGGGTTGAGACTGAAGGCTAGCATGGTCCTGAAGGGGAGAGGGTTGATTGCCACTTATTTTTTTGTTTGTTTTTCTTTTGAGATGGAGTCTTGCTCTGTCGCCCAGGCTGGAGTGCCATGGCGCAGTCTTGGCACTCACTGCAACCTCCGCCTCCCGGGATCAAGCAATTCTGCCTGAGCCTCCCGAGTAGCTGGGATTACAGACATGCGCCACCACACCCGGCTAATTCTTGTATTTTTAGTAGAGATGAGGTTTTGCCATGTTGGCCAGGCTAGTCTCGAATTCCTAACCTCATGATCTGTCTACCTCCGCCTCCCAAAGTGCTGGGATTACGTGAGCCACTGCACCCAGCCGATTGCCACTTCTCACTGGGTATAAATATTTAAAGTGGGGAGACAGGCCGGGTGTACAGTGGTGGCTCATGCCTGTAATCCCAGCACTTTGGGAGGCTGGGACAGGCGGATCATGAGGTCAGGAGTTCGAGACCAGTCTGACCAACATTGTGAAACCCTGTCTCTACTAAAGATACAAAAATTAACCAGGTGTGGTGGCACATGCCTGTAATCCAGCTACTTGGGAGGCTGAAGTAGGAGAATTGCTTGAACCTGGGAGGTGGAGGTTGCAGTGAGCTGAGATTGCACCACTGCACTCCAGCCTGGGTGATAGAACGAGACTGTCTCAAAAAAAAAAAAAAAAGTAGGGAGATGGTGGCTGCTTCTTGCTTTCATTTTAGCTTTTCATCATTATTCAAATAAAAAAGCACAAGACATCCAATGCGTTAGGCCAGTCCAAGAGCCTTCCCCTCCTATTTCCTGCATAGATGGGTGCTGGCTGTCTGACCAGGGCTGAGTTGTCCAGTGCTGGAAGATCAGTGAGGGTTACTCAGGTTTTGGGCTGATACTGGTCTCTGAAAAGATGTCCCAGGGTGTCCTTTGCTTCCTCAATTCCTTCCCTGGTACAAATGTTCACTGAGAGCCTATTCGATGGCTCTATGCTCCTAGATAAAGGTCAGTCAGGCCTGGGGCTTGGTTTCAGTGGCTGGCTGCCTGCATACCAGGCACAGCTGGTAGGTGGCTTGGTGGAGCTAGAACCTGAGCCTCACATCTAGGGAGCCCACATTCTGCTGGTAGCCCCAGACACTTCCAGAGCAGGAGGATGGGCCCTGCTTCCTTCCCTTGTTCCTAGGAGAGAGAACTTCACTGGGGGACAAGAAGCACACAGAAGAACTGATTGGAGGGTGGCAGTGCCACCTGCTGAGTGGTCTGCGCTTTTCCCAGTTCACCTCTCTCACGAAGTTCCAGCCATTGCCGAGAGGAAGGAAAATAGCCACTCAGCACCAGGGTTGGAGCTTTTTAATTTTTTTGTAGAGATGGGGTCTCCCTGTGTTGCCCATATGGTCTTGATTTCCTGGGCTCAAGCGATCCTCCCACCTCGGGTTCAAAAATGCTGGGATTACAGGCATGAGCTAACACACCTGGCCTGGAGCAGTTTTTAATAGTAATTACAGCAGAAAATACTTAGGTAGTACAGACTCTGCCCAAGGCACTATCCTAAGCATTTCATACATATCAACTCCTTAATCCTGACACTTAAAAGTCCAGGCCCCATTAATTCACCCTTTCTATCTAAGTGGAATCCCAAGCACAGACAAATCAGTGCCTTGCCACTGGCCACCCAGCCTGTTGTGTTCCAGAAACCATGCTCATGACCAGATTCAGCTTCTAGGATCAGGTGATCCTGAAGTGATAACACTGAGGACAGGACAAAGGCCCCCACTCTTGGCCTGCATGATCCTGTGACCCCAGCAAACCCAGAAAGGGTGTTATCCATGAGGAGACAGCCCTGTGGAACAATGGGTTAGACCAAATTGCAAATCAACAGAGTCACCTCTTGATTGCTTAACACACAAAATTTAAAAAGAAAGAAAAAAGAAGCCAGAAAAAGAAAAGAAAACACAGGCCCAGGTTTCTTCAGTTTATTAGGTACCAGTAATCCTCAAGCCCAGTAGCAATGCCACCAGCCTCTACAGTCTCCCCCGCTGTGTGCTGATCAAAAACAAATAGCCCAGTGCATATTGGGGCCTGACCAGGTGGGTCCAGGTATCTCAGAGCTGTGCAAACCCCTGCAGGATCTCCTCTGTTGGCTCCCGGATACAGGAATATCCCTATAAAGCCCTCAACTTCAGCTCATTAAAGCCAAGGCACAGAAGGCAGTGATGGAGCAAGGGCTGTGGCTGCTGGTGACACTGGTGATGCTACTGGGTGACAGCGGGGCAGGGGCTCCCTGGGGATGCACAAGGTGCATGTCCATTCCCCAAGCCATGGCCCTATCTCATGACATTGGCTACACAGATGCGGCTGCCCAACTTGCTGGACCATGACACAGTGGCTGAGGCCATTCAGCAATCAGTCAGCTGGCTGCCCCTGCTTGACTGGGAGTGCCACACCACTGCTGCCTCTTCCTCTGCTCCCTCTTTGCCCCTGTATGCTTTGACAGGTAGGACAGGGGCTTCCAGGTGCAGGGCCCCAGGGGGTTCCTCCAGGGATCTGTTTTGGTGGCTCAGGTCTTCACTTATCCTTGCTGAGCACCTATCAGGGCTGGGCACTGACAGGGACAGGGAAGAAAATGGATCGTTTTGTTAGAGTGTTTCAGACAGTGGGAAGCAGGTGCCCTTAGGAAAGGGACCACCAATGATGGTCAAAGGCTCTTGAATGTGAAGATATGGCAGGTAGACAATTCCCTTCAGGCTGGGGGTGGAGGGCAGACAGGCTGGGAGCTCCTCTCCAGTGAGGTGTGGAAGCTCTGTCTGTCCAAAGAGATCCTGGCAAGAGATGGAGCAGAGGCCCTTCTGGTGGCCTTTTTTCCCCACAAAGTCCAGATGTTCCAAGGCTGTTTCCTCTTCCTCAGCTTAACCTATGATGTGAACAGTGATTCCCTCCCAGAGCCTCTGGGTGGCCATGCCAGCAGAACTCAGGATCAAGCCCTTGCACTCTTTGCCAGCCCCAGCCCTGGCTGCGGTACCCTGAAGGCCTTTCAGGACAAGAGAGAGGGCCCTGCTTCCTCACTTTAATATGGAGAGTGAAGGCTCAGGGTGCAGGCTGCCTCTCGCAGACACTGGATGTCCACAGAGCCGGAGCGGGAGTTGCACTGGAAAGCTGGCAAGACACCTGGGTGGGAGGAGGCGGAGGAGATGAGACAGAAGCACTGGGAGTGGAGAGGCAGAGCTGAGGGCTGAGATGTGGGTCAAGTGGGAAAGCCAGGCTATGGGCCGTTGCTAAGCAACCAGTGTCGTTGCCCAGGAACCACAGAGAGTTTCAGGCCATGAGGCAGGGGTAGGAGCATAAAGGGGCTCCAGCTGATCTGGGTGCCCAGCAGGTAGCGGTGCAGCCCCCAACCCTTTCCCCCAAGGGCCATCCACCCCTGCCACAGCCTGTGCAAGGCCGTGCAGGCCAGGTGTGAGCCCATCATGGCCTGCTACAACTGCCCCTGGCCAACCATCCTGCACTATGGAGGCTTCCGCTCGGGCCATGGTCTCTGCATCACTGCTGTGGCCAAAAACGGCTCCCGCCTGGACCACCCCTGTGAGTCTGCACAGCTTCCTGGCTGGTCTCCACCTTGCTTGGCCCTACTCCTTTCAAATAATTCCCCAGGGACCAGGTAAACTGTGCTCAGGCATCTGTCTCAAAAAGGATAAAAAAGAGGGAAAAGTGGGAGGGATCAGCCCCCTTCACCCCCCTCCTCACTCTACCCTCAACCACACTGGACAGTGCCTCGCCGTGTCCCTCTTCCCAGTGCTGCCTGCCAGCTGCAGGGACTCCGAGTTGCAGGATGCAGGCTCCTCCAAGGAAGTCCTGGACATGCCCTGCACCAGTGACTTTAATGAGTCCTGGGCCTGTAACCTGTAGCTTTTTTTTTTTTATCTGGAGTCTCGCTCTGTCACCCAGGCTGGAGTGCAATGGAGCGATCTTGGCTCACTGCAACCTCTGCCTGTCAGGTTCAAGCAATTCTCCTGCCTCAGCCTCCTCAGTGGCTGGAACTACAGGCATACACCATCATGCCTGGTTAATTATTTGTATTTTTAGTAGAGACGGGGTTTCACCATGCAGGCCAGGCTGGTCTCGAACTCGACCTCGTGATCTGCCCACCTCGGCCTCCCAAAATTCTGGGCTTACGGGCATGAGCCACTGCACCCGGCTGGGCCTATAGCTTTACACACCCCTTCCAAGTGCCTCCATTGCAGCTCCTGGCTTGGTGCTGAGGCAATGTAAGAGGGAATATCCAAATGCTATGCTTGGTTAGAGCTAAAAGAAAAAATTCCTTTACAAGCATTCAACATGGCTAAAACAAAAAGAAACCAAAAATTCTGCTAAGGAAGGTGGCATCCTAACAGCTTGATTCTAGGGGCAGAACATTAGACAAGAGGGTTTAGTCCACCAGGTGGAGGGGACTGGTGGACTAAACACTTTGGGAGTTTAGGGGGGACTCCTTGAGGCCCATCTCCTCATTGGCCCCTCTGTTCCCACTCAGCAGGGAAGGTCAGGCTCTCCAGGCACGGTACCTCCTCTGACCTTTGGGACTGTGACCTGGACTTTAGACTATAGGTGCTGAAGATGGAACCACTGCCCCCTGCAGAGCTGATGCCCACCCTACAATACTAGCTGCAGCTGGATGTCACATGCATGTAAAACCTTTTTTGAGAAAAGCACACAGGAACCTAT